TGATGGGTGGTTTTGTAATGTGCAATCAGCACACACCTACAGTCTCCGTTACATAAAATACACACACACACACACACACACACACACAAAACACACACACACACACACACACACCAACACACACACACACCACACACACACACACACACACACACACACACACACACACACACACACACACACACCACACACACACACACACACACACACACACACACACACCACACCGTCATCCACCCACAGACTTACCTTCACTGATCCATTGAAACTCACGGCATCTTTGCCAAGTACAACACAAGTGCTTATATTTCCCTCACCCTCTCACTTCCTCTCTCTTCGTCTCTCTCTGCCTCACTCTCACAGTATTCTGCTGTAATATGAATCCAGTAACCACATCAACACTCAAATCTAGCTGACCCTGGTATGTGCCGCTCAGATAATCCAAGTTTAATTTGACATCAAAGCCCTGAAGAATCGCCACTGAATTTAACATTATTAGTTTCAAGGCATTTGATCAGGTTCAAGAAACATGGAGGATATTTTTGAAAACCTGCTGTGGTTTAAAGTAAAAAAAACAATTTAGTTTAGTCATTAGCTTTAGTAGGAACAAAATCCTGATCTCATCGTAGTTATTCCACATAAAATGAACTGTATCAAGGACTTATTGTGCAAAAAGTGAAATAATACTTGTTCTTGAGCGAACACCAGTCCACACACACAAACATGTTTAAATAAATACACAAAAGGAAATAATATGATGGCATAAAAGACGTCATGAACAGATCAGAAATTATCCTTGAAAGTGCCTTGCGGAGTGTTCTAGTAAACAAACTAAAGTTCAGTGTATACTTGAGCACTAACAAATGTTGCATTGTTTCACTTCTTGGCACATTAGTAATGAATTCAACAATGTTCAGCAAATTGTTGTTAACAAGTATTTTAACGATGTTTGATTTTGCAACAAAGATGGCAGGGCATCCAGAGTCGTGCCTGAACTATCGTATCCCATCACTTTGTGTCAAGTACAGTCTTCAGTAGGTTATTATTATTATAAAAGTATGAAGGTATTAAAGTAGTGTCATGTAGATTGTGTTATATAGAGTAATTTAAAAAATCTATTATGTTCATGTTACTTTGGGGCTAACACTGAAACTCTCATTTGAACAGACTTGTCTGGCCTGGTATCAAAGCTCCACAGTGTAATATGATATGTATTTTGTGTTAATGTGGATAAACGTTAAAGCAGTGATAGCAACATAATCCCCAGCTTGCCTTGAGGGCCTGGTGGTGGTAGGGCAGAGGCTGCCACAGTCTCTTAGTGGAGAGAGGATTACGCTTAAAGCATTCTCAACAAAGATTTAACAGATTCACTTAAAAGCGAGCAAATTAAGGTGGAGATTCTTCTAGGGGCACTGCACCAACTCAGGGAGTACTGAGCCTGTGAACATTTTCACAGTATAATATATCTTAGGCCCTAAAGGGAGTTTTGTCAAGTGATAAAAAAAACCTGGTTATGTCATCTGGGCCATCTCTGATAAGGCTAGGAGAACTGCAGATTTCTAAGGAAGGTGAGTTGAGAGACTCTTTGATTTGCATTGTGGGAAGTTTAAAGGTCACCTATTATGCAAAATCCTCGTTTTCATGTCTTTATGTAACGGAGGTGATCTCTGGGGCCGTAGATCTCGGTCTCCGTTACGTAGGATATAGCTTCATTATTGGCGAAGCATATTCATTTGTTCCACGCTAAAACATTGCACAGGAAGCATGTAAATATATGTAATTTATGCATCTATTTGTCACGATCTGTCTATGTTTTAGTTTGTCTGTGTCCTGTTTTAGTTTGAAAAGTGTTCCCCCTCCCGTCTTGTCTGTTGCTGGTGATTGTGTTCACCTGGTGCCCTGTGTTTTCTCCTCCCTCCTCACCTGTGTCTTGTTGGTTTGATTAGTCCTGTGTGTATTTAGGTTCTGTTTTCCTGTTAGTCTGGGTGTGTGGGAGATCCTTGTTGCTGGTGACTGTGTTCACGTGAGACAGTAATATTGAGGCTGTCTCATGTACCACAATGAGTAATGCCCACACCGGGTTGTATTTGGACGTTCTGCCTCTGCCTCCTTGCTTGGTCGGGCCGCTCAATGGTCAGCTTCACACTTTAATACATAAAGATGTCTCCCCTCTGTGTTAAGAGATTCAGAAAGTTTCAGGAAAAAAGATTCTCACTCTTTAAGTCCTGTTCCATTTATATAAAAATCTGTCTGAAAATGAGCTGATCAGATTGTGGCCACTTTATGATGTCACAATGTTTTTTGGGTTGTGTAACCATTAGCCAGAAACCAGCCAAGGTAAAACCTGCCCACCCTATCACTTGAATATCCTCCTGGAGCATCATTGTGTTTTTTCAAACCAAACATCTTGCAGAGGGGCATGGGGAGGGGCAGTTCATTTGCATTTATAGAGGTGAGGTATATTGCCTCTTAAGTTAAGTTATAAGTTAGCAACATGAAGGTAAATTAGGCTTGATGTATGAATATGCTTTAAGAAAAAAACAGCCTACATCACAGCTCTCTATAGGGTTTCATTTATCTTGAGTGATTATAATAAGGGGAAATATGAAGGCTATATTTCAAGCTTGTTATGTAAATAAGTGATTGGGCTTTTTTTATCAACTAAGATTTGTTGTCAAATGTTTTCAACATGAATTGACTGAATTTATTTGAAAAGTGGGCTTATTAACACATGAATACTACTGTGTAATATATTTGTACATATATATACTGTATATATGGGCCATATTTCATTATACTTTTAGAATTTGCTGAGGGCCGATTCAAAATGGCCTGAGGGCCGCATTTGGCCCCCGGGCCGTAGTTTGGACACCCCTGATTTAAAGCTACAGAATCAGCACTTTTAAAACAGGGCTGAAACAGAGGGGTTTATGGGATGCTACAATGCATGATCTGTTTGGTATTTTGAGCCAAACACTTCAGAGGCATGTTCTGAATATATCTGAGACCATTCATATATTGATGAATAAGAGTATAATAGGGGACCTTTATGATCTGGCATTTTGTTTGACTTGACAACACAAAGGTCAGGTCAGGTCCAGCCTGGCTGTAACCTGGTTTATAATCTTGAGTATTTTTCGACACTCAGCTCCCACCACACTAAATGTCTGGAGTGCAGGAAAGAAAATGCAGTCATTCTGAATGTTATGCCTCCCCATCTTTATATAAAGAGACACTAGCAACAAGAGAGAGGGGTCTGGAACAAAAATAAGAGAAACTTCTGCAGTTTCTGGTAAATCCAAATATCATCATGAGCTGTCACACACAGACACCAAGTGTATGTGTCAGGCGTTCAGTTCATCCATTTTAGTTTGAAGCTAAAAGTCGGCATCAAATTTGAGAGAAAAGAGAGATGGATAATCTTTTTGTCATTGTATCTGAACAGAGGCTGGTGGGAAGGAGCGGTATCTGGGAGCGAGAGAGAACACAGATGCTCTGACTTTCAAAAAACCCGCTTCACACTTCAGGCAAAATCATGCCACTGCTCTCCCACTCTGCACAGCTCACATCCCCTGGTGCCTGCAGCCCCCATTCATTCCAGGGCATGCTAGGATTCAAAGAAACACACACAAAATGCACCTGTTGTTCTGTCATATGAGTTAATAGTGCCTGTGTGTGCAATAGTGTTAGAAACAATCATCAGAACGCTCTCACAAGCACAATCTCTGATCCAAAACATAAACTTAAATCAAAATAAAAGACTGGTTCCAATCCTATAAATGTAACATTTACAGACATAATAAGTTCCAGAATTACCCCAACATGTTTTTATGAATACAGTTGTGAAACAGGCGTATTTGTTAAATAACAATAAGCTAAGAATATATGAAACTTGGATGGCAGAGGAGGGGGTTGGGCTAGTCCCAAGTACAATGAAACGAATGACCCAGGAATCTCTGTATATGTGTGATTATGTGCATCTTCTTGTGTTTATGCCAGTGTGTGTGTGTGTGTGTGTGTGTGTGTGTGTGTGTGTGTGTGTGTGTGTGTGTGTGTGTGTGTGTGTGTGTGTGTGTATGTGTATGTGTATGTGTATGTGTGTGTGTGTGTGTGTGTGTGTGTGTGTGTGTGTGTGTGTGTGTGTGTGTGTGTGTGTGTGTGTGTGTGTTGCAAATATATGTGGCTCAGAGGCAACCATGTCATAATGCCACTTAACTGTGGGACATCAAAGAGACAAGCCCTGGGGGACAAGACAGACAGTCCTGGAGACCGAGCTTTGATGAGAATGTGAAGCTATGTTTTATTATTAATAACATCCAACCGTACTGACAAGAGAGTATAGCAAATGTAATGTGATTCAGTATAATCTTATGTTTAATAGTTTTACTGTGCTTTTCAATATTTACTCCAAACTGATTTAGTTGATAGTAATGACATTTGTGAATGGTAAAAATAGAGCAGTTAAATATTTATTTTGTATTCGCTGCTTGTTGCCAAGAACTCATGACCCACAAATTGCAATTCTGTATTGATGTTTAATTATTAAAACACGCTTAAATATGGATTTTAAAGCGTTGGATGAAGACGGTCTGGTGCAAGCTATCGAAAACTGTGCCGTCTCTATTGCACAAATAGGGGAAGCCATTTAGCTGATGTTTAATTCTGTTTTAGTGCCGTGCAGTCTGGAAATAAGGACAGACTCTTTATACACTGTAGGTATCTCCGACTGCTCTATGGAGGACAAATATAGTGCCCGTTGCCATGGTTATGATGAGAACTCATCCACACAAACGGAGCAGCGAGACCACGAGAATACACCTACACAGCTCTCTCCTCTTTCAATCCACAAACACCACGTGTAGATAAGGAGGAACTATGTGTGGTACATGTTTGGGGTCGATATTGTGTGTGTATGTATGTAGGGGCTTAGCTTGAGCGGTGTTTGCACGATGAGCACCTGTGGAGGAACATTTTTTTTTACAAGTTGAACACAGACTCACCGTCACAGTGGGGATGGCGGTTACTAGGGAGTAGACGAGGACAGGCGGTGCCTTGCTGTTGTCCTCTGGTCCCGGGAACGGCTTGGAGTAGGCTTTGTCGAAACAGAAGAAGCCCTGGATGTGCACGGGGAACGTGTCCGTGTACTCAAAGTAGTACGCCAACAGCACAGTCCCTGCCATGATGACCAGCTGGAAATAAAACATATTGGTTCCAGCTTTAGAATTGGATCCGCAGAAAGAGTGTAGGAGTTGGGAAAAGAAAAGACAGCGGGAAAAAGAGTGGAAAATACGGTCACGGATTTAACAAGAAGAAAAGAAAAGAGAGATTCTTCCTTCCCACAGCAAAATGATGGATGCTCCGGTAATGTGTAAAATGAATCAAGTGTGCATGGAGAGATAGTGAGGGATGAGGATGAGAGGGAGGGAGGGAGAGAGAGATAGAGACAAAGGGAGACAAATAAGGAGAAAGACAGATAGAGAGGGGGAAAGAGAGAGCACTGACAGAGATAGAGAGCGAGAGAGCGATCCCTTCAGCGCTGTTAGAATGCAGAGTGGGAGGGTAGAGAAACAAATGGAGGGCGATCAAAGAAAATAACGCGAATGAAGGAAGAGAAGAATAAGTGAATAAGGATGGCAGGGAGGTGGGAGAGGTAGGGTGGGACACAGATGGGGTGAAAAAGAGCTGAGCGGTGGAGACGACAAGAGGAGGCAAAGAAGAGAGAGAGAGAGAGAGAGCGAGAGAGAGAGAGAGAGAGAGAGAGAGAGAAGAGAGAGAGAGAGAGAGAGAGAGAGAGAGAAACTACCCTGGGAAAAGCAGAGGGTAGGATGAGAAGAATTACATATAAGTGTGTATGTGTGTGTATGTGTGTATCTGCATAACCTAAGTTGTTATTGTACCGCACATTTCATTTAAAATACCAGCTGTATGCAAAGCACAACCTATGAAGCATAACATATGACCTTCATAGCGATTTAAAAAGTGTTTCATAATAAAAATGTATTAGCAATTCAGATAAGATTGAATGTGAGAGAGAGAGACAGAGTAAAAGAGGGGATGATATACAGTGAAAAGATGAATAAACATGCTTTTCTGCACAGCTGAGACAGATGTACAAATTATTCATTTATACTTCAGTAAACAGCACTCTAACTCCTTTTGGCCTGTTCCCCGCAGACGACAAAACAACTGCACAGTGAGCTTCTCTAACTGAACAGTAAAGGTTTGGGCAATGTTAGTTTGCCATGCGGGAATAGGCCTGAACAAAAAGTACAAGCTAAAAAAGGAATGTGAGTCTAAATATTGCAAAACTGCTGATTAGTTTTATCATAATCTGCAGCCTTAATGTTTGCCAGATGAACTCCTATTGTATGTGAAGGACACATTTATCAGCACCAAAGCACAAGGAGCCTCTGCTGGCGGGCTAAGCTGTTTTCAGCATGAAGCAGGAAATAAACAGCATGGAAGTTGTTGTTTACACATACTTCTGTTACCGTAAAGGGGTTATAATGAATATGTAGAGAAGTTACACATAGTTTAAGCAAGGGGGTCATCTGAATAAACTTTTTTTATGAAGCAGACAGGTTGACTAGTCTGTCAAAGCTGTGACTAATGAGACTTAATCGGTGCATTGCAGTAATTGATGGAAAGGAGACATCATTTAGTTCCATCTGTGCTCTTCCATGACAGGTCAAAACATCTGTGAATCTAATTCATTTGGGAAGGGGAAATGGACAAGGGTACTTTCGTGGTGACATAGCTATCAAGACTCAGATTTAGTTGTATTATAATGTGGGATTGTTTTAAATTCCCAAAGCACACCAAAATATTAAAATGTTAGTAAATACTATTTACACAATTCCCTTATTTACAGAAATGTTGATACAAATATAATTTCTACTTCAAAAACTGAGCTAGAGTCAGTAGTGGTTAGCTTAGCTTAGCATACAGTTGTCATGCTCCTACCGCTTATGTTTGTAGTTTAATTTAGTTTTTCTTCCTAAAGTCACTATTGTTAATTAATATATGTCTTTGTCTTCTTCCCGCCTCTGTGATTGTGATTCCTTCGTCCGTTTGCAATTGGGTCTAAATCAGTGACTCTGAAAACTGTATAAGATATAAGAAACAATGTGGGATTCTTGTTAATATGTAGAGATTACAGAGGTTTATGCATGTTGTTGTTGGAGCTGGAGGCCATCAAGGAATTGGAAACACCTGGCCACCGTCTCAAAGTCTATAAGACCCGCCCCTGTGGGCTCTGGCCCTACCTATGTTAGAATTTTGATATGCTGTATTACCTTATTTCCTGTCAGGAATGTCATATTTTGCCAAACTGATTTGTTACAATAATCTTTTCTTACCTTTTTAACTAATCCACCTGTTTGAATAAACCTATTGCCATTTCCCATTAACTCCCATTTATTTGAATGTCTGTAGAGCGTCTCAGCTACAGCAGTGGGGATGGCAGGGGATGTCAAAAAAATCTAAAATGTATGTTCAATCAGTACACAAAACTAAATATAAAAAAGAGGAGTCTAGTGGTTTCATTGGGATTTACACTGGTTGGCTGGCAACACTTCAGGAAGTCATCATGCTGGGTGACCTTCTCATCTGACACAAACATATTTCCCAAAATAGCCTGTACTGTTGATGAAGAATCTTCTTTATGTTTTACAGCATTAAGTCTCACAGCGGCAGATGGCTGAACAAGTGAGACAGCACTGAGAGAACCTCCTCCAACATGTTTAACCTCTTCAGCAAAGTGACAGCGTACCCACTTGGACTAATGCTATAGGGAGGAGAAGAGGGGACTTGTTACACGTAACACATTTCAGCTTTACTGCGCAGTGAAGAGGAAGGCCTAATTTAAAATTCTTAAATTACATGTCTGCTCTACTGTCAGACCTGCTTCAACTTTTCGTTTCTCTACAGACACTAGACACCTTTGGATGCCTGCCTTTCATGAATAACAAAATCAAATGATGAATTTGAACGTTCCCATGGCAATGTGCAAATCTGATCTACTTCAATTTGTTTGTGGCAGACATCCTATCGTTTTTGCACTGATTGGCATTGAATTCGGTGACAACACACATGCCCGAGGCCTTAAAAAGCCAATCTATGAGGGACACACACACACACACACACACACACACACACACACACACACACACACACACACACACACACACACACACACACACACACACACACACACACACACACACACACACACACACACACACACACACACACACACACACACACACACACACACACACACACACACACACACACACACACACACACACACACACACACACACACACACACACACACACACACACACACACACACACACACACACACACACACACACACACACACACACACACCTCGTAGTTTATATATACTCCTAGAATACAAAGCAGTTTCAGGTTTCTTTCTGTGTTATCTGCCATCTACAGCACATGCTATTTGTGTGTTTGAATGAGTGGGTGTGTGACTGTGTTTTCATGTCTGTAGGTATGTGGGTGCATTCCCATGTCTGAACAGGAACTCTGACACGCTGTGTGTTCAACATTTCTTTCTATCATCCAGTCCTCTCTTCTCGCTGAGCTACAGAAGGCTTGAGGGAGGAAGCATAGGAGGGAGGTGTAGCAAGGTGGGAGGAAGCAAGCAGGCGAGGGAGGAAGGGAGGTCTACGAACACCCATCAAAGTTTGAACAAACATTCAGACAACAGCGGAAAACATCCCTGGGAGATTATGCATGTTGTTCATCTACTTTTACGCTACATAAGCATTAACATTGGATGCTCTTAGGACAATACTGTTAGCCTGAGAGGTCTAACAACAGTTTGTGTAGAATAAAACATGAGCAGACACAAGTTGTATTAATACTGGGACAAGACAGTGAAACATTACAGCAAGGAGTCGTTGGGAGAGTTCCCTCCTGAATACAGGTTCTTATATGACTTTACATCTCCCTCCCCTCCCACATGAAGGAATAAACAACTTCCGGTACACTCTGCATCCTCGGACAGTTTCTCTAAATAACAATACAGGGTCAACGCAACTTCAAATGTCTAATTAGCACATTCTGCGCAGGTCACCTTGGAATATTAATTTGCATAATGTATTGTTTCTAAAGCTCCGTGTGCATGTGCAGTATGAAAGGGAGGTCATGGAGGGTCACACTTGCAGACATGATTCTGTCACATGACTCATCTCCACGCATAGTCTTAACCCGGGGTCTTCACAAGGCAGCTATTTTGAGGCAAGAGAGAAAGTAAACACTTTGACTATCACAACGCAGCTACAGTATCACAGCCAATGCCAATTATTTTCTGCTTCATTCTTCCTTAAAGCCTCCAATCTTGACTCAAACATGTTTATAAAGTCCAACTACAGCTGTTTTTCAGTGACACTAGAGAGCCAGATTTCCATGTTCTTGTCTGATATGCCATCATACTCAGACCTGTTGCCTACACTTAGAGGGTCTTTCACCTAGTTTGTCCCTGACTGAACCTTAAAATGTCTTTCCCCTATTTTCGTTTAAACCCTGTACTAGCAGCGCCTAAACGTGTAATGCGTGGGATTCCTTTGCCTTTAGGTAGTTAACATTTATTTAAATGTAGAGCACTTGTCTATTACAGATTGTCTCATTGATTTCTCAGGTCAGTACAAATCTTAGGTGATCATTTGGGAAATCTGGCTTGTAGACGGAGATTAAGACAAAAGCCCTATGGTAACAAAGCGCAACATTGAATAGAATTGAAAATTGATAAAACAACTACATTTAGACAAGTCCTTCACAGCCAAAATCAACCAAAATTATTATTTTGTGATGCTCCTATCAGCAGGACAACATCATGTGTTTGTGCCTATCAAAACTATTTGAAATTACTATTGAAGAGAGTTTAATGATGTAACAACACGTTTAGCGTCGCCAGAACATAAGTACAGGAGATGATTGATTATCATGTTGTTGTGATGAGCCTCTATTGCTCCTTCTGTGTCTAGTTCATTCATGTCTTTGTAACCCGCTGAGAGGTAGCAGTGTGGTGAGACCACAGGTGATCCCCTTTCTGCTGTCTTGTTATTCAAGGAGGATCAAAGACTTAATTGGCAGAACAGTATGCACATACAGTGGGGCAAAAAAGTATTTAGTCAGCCACCAATTGTGCAAGT